GACCTATAAAAAAAATCACAACCAATGATATAATGAGACATAGTCTGGAGTTTCTTAAAAAGACTCTTTAGAGTTTCTTAAGTTCCTTCTTTAAGAAACTCTCCTATTTCTCTTTACACCATTTCTTAACATTTACTATTACTTTATTATAAGAAACTCATACAAAAGTGTGCGATGGAGCTGGTCAACTTAGATTATTATCATTCTACTATTAAATGGAAACCAATACTAATATTTAAGAAATAAACAAACATTTGACTCGCCGAATAATGGATTAGATTTTTCTTTGCTCGCAAAAAAAAAAAAATCAAGAAGATTTTTAAAAAAAGAGAGATGTTAATTTACACAAACGGAGCAATTAAACGGCGTTAGATACCGTCACTGGCGGCCAACGGTTTTTACCTTTTATACATGAAACGTCTGCAAAACGACACAACGGCGTCAGCCAATAACTTCTCCGACGTATGTAAGTTATTTTTTTGGCAGAATCCGTTTTCAGAACACAAACACAATCTCTCTTTATCTCTCTAGTCTCTATATACAGAGAGAGAAAGGTCGAGCAAAAAGCTTGCGGTATACACATATATCCAATCATTGTCAGCTTCTTTTTCTCCAAAAAAATTCCGATCTTTTTTTTCTTTCCTTCGCCGAAAACAGAACAAAGAAAGACCAAGAAATGGGTACGAAAGATGAGAAAGTCGAAGCTGTTCTTCACTTGCTAAGGAAACAATCTCCACTCACTCTTAAACAAGTAAGACTCATTAACAAAACACATAAATCTGCATGTTTCTTGTATATTCATAAATAAAGCTTCGATCTTTATACATGTTTCAGGAGAAGTTCTGTAACAGAGAGTGTGTGGAGAGATTCTTGAAAGGGAAAGGAGACAGTGTAAAAAAAGCTGCGAAGCAACTAACTTCATGCCTTTCTTGGAGACAAAACATCGATATTGGTAATATTTTCGATTTTTACCTTCAAATTTGTGTACAAAGAACACTTTTTTTTTTCTTAAAGCTTTTATTTTTAAACAGAGCGATTGGGGGCAGAGGAATTCTCGACGGAGCTAGCCGACGGTGTAGCTTACATCGCCGGTCACGACGGAGATTCCAGACCCGTTATTGTAATTTCTTCATAATCCATTAATAATCTATTTATTTATTCTCTTTTTTTTTCTGTTATCATCTAAGTTAATATTATTGATGTTACAGATTTTTCGTTTTAAGCATGATTATCAGAAGCTGCGTACCCAGAAACAGTAAGTGTAGATGATTAATCAAGATGAATCCACTGTTTTGATATTCTTCAAAAAAAAATTTGATTTTGTTTTTTGTTTGTGTGAAGATTTACGCGTTTGGTAGCGTTCACGATTAAGACTGCAATCTCGAGCATGTCCAGAAGCGCAGAACAGAGCTTTGTTCTTCTCTTCGATGCAAGTAAGAAGAATTCGTACACTAACTGAAATTACTTTTTTGTCCCCGGTAACCTTCTAAATCTCCGTGGGTCGTATCTGTACTAATCCGTAATTTTGAATGTCGTATTTTGTTTGCGTTTTGTTTGGTAATGTTTTTTTCATATTTTGGATTGAAGCGTGTCGGGGACCGGATTTTAGGACATGTATGTATGCATTTAATTTCATGTCCGAATTGTCTCTTCTGTGTGTCTACGTCACACTTCCTTTCTAAATTATCCCACTAAAGCGTGTGGCTAATCACAATATTTCTTCACCATAATTTCAAGTTTTGAAAAAGTAATTTCAACCAAAAAAAACATTGAAAACTCTTTTTCTGTTCTTATTTTCATTTTTATTTTTAGCTCCTTCTCTATATGACTACTTCATTTTGTAGAAAAACGGCTCAATCTAATTATAAAATATTCAAGACTTACTAAGGTACTGTATTATTTTAATGGCTTACTTGTTTTTTTAATTTAAATGTATACCTTAGTTTACAAAGACCAATATTTTTACTAGTAATATTTTAGTCAAAGAAGTAATTATTAGTATATTTTTTCGCATCATGCTTTCAAAGTTTTATGCTTTTTTCTGCACAATTGTTTTTTTTTTTTTTTAATTCCAGCTTTCCAATTTTCATTCTTTTGAAGGTAAATGAAATATAGTTATTCTCTGGCAAAATACATCTTTAATTTTTTTTCAAACCCGATTAGTTTAATAATTAGTCCACTTGATTAATATTCTCTTTGGTTTTGTTGAAAAAAACAATTTCAGGCTTTTTCAGATCATCCTCTGCTTTTGCAAATTTGCTTTTGGCGACCCTAAAAATCATCGCAGATAATTACCCATGCCGACTTTACAAGGCCTTTATCATCGATCCTCCCTCTTTTTTCTCTTACATTTGGAAGGTAATAAATATTATAAACTCAAATCATTTACTTAATATTAATTTTAACTGTGATTGATTCCTAATCTCAAAGTACCGTTTGTTCGTACTCATTTATTACAGGGTGTTCGTCCGTTTGTGGAGCTATCAACGGTCACGATCTTGGTCTCGTCTCTGGACTATGACGAACAGCTGGATATTAGCCACGTGTCATCATCAGATCCTAGATCCGCTTCCTTACGTTTCGACACATCGTCGATTAAATCAACGGCTACGATTGGTTCGTCTTCTTCAAGATTCGCCTTCACTGTATCTCAGAACCACCGCGACTCCTTGAAGCCGTGGTACCTTTCCTTCACCGACACGTCTCCTTTTCACGGCGGAACCGCCGTTAGGGTTTCTCCTTTCAGCTCGGCGAGGTCGCTATCTTTCGCTTCTCCGGCGGCGCGTGGCTTAAGAGACGTGAGACCAGCCGCATGCAGAAAGAGTCTGTTTCCCTCGACGCCATTTCCGGAGAAGACGAATACGGTTACGTACCGGAAAACTTCACGACCGTCTTTTTTTCAGTCTCCGGCGATGTTTTTTCTTGGGGAGAAAAATAACGGCGAGAAGCCACGTGAAGCGTTCGTACCGTATTTGAAGTTTTACCGGAGGCCGTACGATGAGATGGCCTATAGGTCTAAGCTGAGGGGTCCACGTGGATTTGTGTCAGTCGTGTCTTCGCACAGGAGATGTCGCCACGTGTCTTTATCTCAACGGTTCTAGCGCTAACGTTAAAAAGACAAGGTTGGGGTAATAATTACCCAATGAGCTTTAGTTTCTTAAAATCAGTTCTATAATTCGACCAAATATATATATAGAGAGAAAAATTAGCTAAAGTTTCATCAGATGATTAAGAGACATATGAAGCTATTTATTTGACAATTATCGACAAGGCGACTTTTTTTTTAGTAACGAGAGAAAAGAAAGATCATTTGTCATTTGTGGAGATCAAATTCTGCTCCCAATGATCATTAACTTCATGTAGAATCCCAACTTGAAAAAACAAAGCATAAAAATACACGTGCGACGGTTGTAGGAATTCGGAGTCAATAGTTTGATTTAAGACTCGTGACGTTGAACAAATTAGCTAGAAGCATGCATATTAAAGTTTCAAATGTCGTTTTTGGTTAAATGCACTTGGCATTAACTAAATCAGTGACATTGTAGTGAAGGTAACTATGAGAGCACATAAACCGCGAAAGAAAAAATATTCTAGATCTCGATATTATTCTTTCGGGCTTCACTTCATAGTTGGATATTGATCGCAAGAAGTGTATCTCGGTCTCTAAGTTACCTCCAATAAATTGAGATGAAAATCAATGTAACATTGTAGTGTAAATTCCAATAAAGTATAAGTCGAATGCAAATCAGTATGATCTTCTATAAGAAAATAAGGAAGAAGAAAAATTCATCCAATTCTTGCCAAGCATTTTGTTTGTTATTATTTTTTTTAATTTTCTCTATGAACGTAGAAGTATCCTGTTTTTAGCTGTAAAAAAAAGAAGACCAATGTGATCACTTACTATAGGTTTGGAAGAGAAAAAAAAACCGCTTTTTAATACATTGATTAAATTTTATATTATACCGTGACATTACAAAATTGATATATTACGAATACTGCATACTACATAACTACTACAAACACACAAACGTACATATTGAAATCGATCGTCATCAAAACTTGGGATAATTAGTTAATATGCAAATACTCTGTACTAACTACTAAATAGTGGAGGAAAGTAAGGAAAATCAAGGAGAAAATATAATGTAGTCGCTTTGAGCGACTAGTGAATTGAACAATGGATAATAACATTAATCCGAAAACACGCAAATCATACACAAAGCCAAAAAACTAAAACAAATATATATAAAGAGAGATTAATCACATAATTTTGGATTGAATGAAAAAAAGAAAGAAGAGAATCGATCTCTAGATTGAGACACTGTTAGGGATCCCTTTCCCAGTAAGTCCACCTTCTCTCGTGAAATCCGTTGTATTCGGGTACAAGAGAGTGTACGGTATGTTAACCGGTCCGGTTCGGTTCTTGAACTTCTTATCCTTGTTTCTTCGTATAATATTGTTCTCTATCAGTTCAAGGCTCTTTCCAAACCTTTTGAACGCTTCCAAAGCCTCATCGTCCGCCGTCCAATTCGGTGAATCCCTCTGCCCTAAGTAAATCTCGTCCGTTGAATGCATAGACAAGGTCTCTATGATGGATATGCCAAGCAGAGTCTGTAGCTGCGGCGTGATAGTCTTCAAGAATGCCAGGTCAGCGTCTTCCGACAACTCAGTGTACTCATCCGTCCCCGGTTCAGGCATAAACCGGCGACTGACAGTAGGTCGGTTAGGGAGAAATCCGGCGTAAGGGTACTGCCCGAAATTGACTGCTGCGTGAAGAGCAGATGCGATCCAAATGATGGTGGTGCAGGTTTCGATGAGGTCATCTAGGGTTTGCATCAAGGGCCACCATGCCTCGTGCTTTTTGTCGCCGTGACCTTCGGTTCGGAGCTCGGTCCACCATGATTGGATCTCTGTATCGTTTTGGACCGTCTTGTCATTCATGTAGTAGAATGAGCAGTACTCTGTTACCCACGTCTTGATTGCTGACCAGATCTCTAAACCGTCCACTGCGAAAGGGTAATCTTCAATCAGAAGCTTAACGCCATTATCGGTGCTCGGATCTTCAACGGCAACTCCTCTGCTAAAACAGGGGATTTAAGGTTACTTGTCCCACAAGAATTTTATAGGTTACTTGTGCCTAAAGAACTGTAGAAAGGGTCTTGATGTATACCGTTTTAGAAGATCTTTGGGGAGAGCCTGATCGGTGAAAACCCAATTCTTGTAAATTGATGAAGACATTTCCATGGCGTATCGACTTGGGAACACTGTTCTCTCCAGAATTCCATCCGCGTTTATGAGGATATGTCGCGCCAATGCGTTGATGTTCAAGGTGTCACGGAAATGAGGATGCAGAAGCTTATGGATCGGATGGACCACGCTAAGTTGCCTATTCGACGCGATTATGAACGGTTCAATCACCGCATGCGTCTGCAACCTGCAAAAACCGGGGAATAACCGATTACTTAAAACCGAATCAAGTATCGCTAGCTGTTTCACAATGTAACCATTTATTACCAGTGGCTTATAAGCTGGTGATAACCAGAATCATTAACGGCCGCGTAAGCCTTAGCAAGCTGCCAAACCGATCCCTCGACGCCTTTCTCTGCCGGTGTGAAAACTTTGCTCACGGATCCGTGTAATTCACCTTGTGCGTGGGGAAGACTCAGCTCTATGGCTAGAGGCTTCAGTGTTCCGTCTTCTTGAAGCAGCAGAAGGGTTCGAGTCGCATAGGTTTTAGTGTTTGTTGAGTTTATCCGTGTCAAGTAAGGCATCAATGCGTCATGATGGTCCAATATGTATAGCTTGTTCTGTTCCAAAGCCTTTTTATAAAACACAAAACAAAACCAGTATCAGTTATGATATACGTATGAAGCTGTTACTTGTTAAACAAGAAACGTATATTATACTTACTTCTTGGACATTGAGACCGTTCATGTGCAGCTCAATGTGTTCTTCTCGTATGGTACTGTCTTGGTTTCCATACTTTGTAGAGTCTAAATTGCTCTTTGGAGGGAATTCCTGCAATTTGTTTCATAAAGGGATATTTCAACCATTTTCAACAGTAGAAAGAAAAATTTCTGTGTTTTGATGAAAAATATTAAACCTGGAGACGACTAATCACCACCGGATTGAGTCCAGCCAGCATTTCCCGGGCAAACTCTTCGTCTGATCTCCACGCCGATCTACTCTCTGCAAAAATACAAATATCATACATGTCAAAATGTACATAAACTTTTTTTCTAAATCGAATCTCTAATTGCTTATGTAGACTATATAAGTTACCTTTAAGGACGTCAGGCAAGGGAAACTTCAAAAACCGTTCACCGTCGTTGCGAATGAGCTCACGGAACATCTCCCATGGGATAACATCACGGAGCTTAGAAATGGTATGACCATTGGCGAGCTTAATACTACCGTCGTAGAGGTGAAAAACGTCTTCGAACGAGTCAAACTCGTTGATGGTCTTGTCGCAAACAGAGGCTAACTCAGGGACAAGCACCTGAGTCACTGATTTTAGCGCGTAAGCGAGGAAGTCAGAGAACTTCACATGGCTAAACCGCTCGTCTCTTGGCACGTATATGTTCAGGTTTAGTAATGCCAGCCTGCTCTCGGACTTAGGGTCTGATAAGAAAACGGTGACGTTTCGGTCAAGTAACTATCGAGTTTTTCAATGTAGTACATGGTTTTGGATGTTGAGATGACTAACCGGATTTGGTGGGTTTACGGCCGGTTTTTCCACGGCGGGGATAAGGGAGCTCAGGTGAACCGCCGAGAACCGGACGGGCAGAGTCGGGACCTTTGTCGGGAGCACCTAAGTCGTTGTAATAAGCGTAGTCGTAAACTCTGTCCCATTCTTTGAACTCTCCTCCTTTCTCATTGCCTCTTAGATTCTTTAGCTCTTCTTCTCTTAGCTCTTTGACTAGCTCCGGTGTTTCACTTGGAAGATATGCCTTTTTAAAACGTGTAAACAAAGAAAAAGTTAGCAAATTTATCACCGTATGTACAACTCATCAATGGTTACGATTAGGGTTAAATACCAAAAATGTCCAAGGCATGATATACATATATGCATGCCTTTTGAGTTGTGACTCTGACTCTAGTAGAAGGTGCAT